CCCGGAGCCGCGGCATAGCCTCTAAGTTGGCTAGGTTGGGGAAGTCATGCTGAAAAGTGGGTGTGGATTACTTAATGCGAGGTCTTTACCACATTTTATAACTAAACTTAGCTATTTCTGCAGTGGTTTAAGAAGGCGCTGTTGAAAATGTATCAGAATGAGGGTTGGTCCCAGCAGGTCACGCTGGCACTTGGCTCCGACTCTTTCATCTTTGGGTGGAGGGTTGCTCCTCTGTGAGGTCCTCTCCTGCCCCGGGATTCCCCAGCACTGAGCCCCTGTGCAGGGATGCTCCTGCATCCCCTGGCCCTGCTGAGAGCGAGGTTGGGCTGGAGTGGGGAGGTGGGACAGCAAATGGGGCTGGGACTTCAAGTTGTTAACTTATTTGCAAGGAACACTGAGTTTGTCATGAAGAAAACATCCATTTTATTCCTTAAACAGCAGTAGCTGTTTTTACTGTTTCCCTTGTGTTGTTTGTTTGTGCTGATTTCAGCATAGGCCTCCTGCATTTCACATATTTGATGTGGAAATAGCATTAAAAATTGGCTAGACTTCAGACTGATGTTGTTCAAAACAAATAAATAAGCCCCAGTCAACAAAACAAATGATAACTTCTTGAAAACTAGTTTCAGTGGTTTCTCACCTTCATTGAAATCTGGTTGCTGTCTGTATGACCTCAGTGGAACAGCAATGGTAGTCCATGAATTTTCTTCTGAGAAAAAAAACCCAAAACCCCCTGCAACTGCAAAAGGTTAACTGAAAAATGGTGGGGGAAAAAAACCCAAATAAACCAGGAATTTTGGTTATTGGAGTGTTCTGGTGGTTTGTCAAAGCAAATCCAAAATGTTAGATGGATCATACAGTACCAAAGTGTAAGATCTCTGAAAATACAGAACTTCTGAAATAAGCATTGAAAATTAACAGCTCCAGGCAACAGAAAAGTAGCCTTTAAAGAATCAGATCTAGTTTAATGTTCCTTGCTACAATTCACTTCCAGTATAATAAAAAGTTCTCTTCTGTGGGCTTGGCCCTAAGTGATCATAAAAATTGTGTATGGCAGCCAGCAGGGAAACTCTCAGCTAATGTGGGAGGCCTTTCCCAGACTGAGCAATGGCTGAATTCTCATACCAGACTAGAGAAAATGAAGAAGCTGAACTTCACTTATCCTGTCCTGGTCTTGCAAATAGCTGTTTCTAACACTGACTAATGCTTATTTGCAGAAGCTTGCATAGGTTCAGAGAGACATGCACCACAAAGCAGTGCTTGCATTAAATATGCTGCGTTATCAAATTCCACATGAGAGTTTCGAGTTGAGTTTGTGGCTGGAGACACCAGAGACCTTGCACTAACAGAAGAAACAGACCTTGAAGGATCAGCCAATGTGTTGTACTAATTATATTCTGGTATTTGTGTGTCTTGTGTGATATAAACTGAGTGATTAGAAGCCGAGGACCGGCATTGTTTGTCATTCCCTCCCTATAAGGGACTTCGTGGTGGTACTGCTAGGTGGCAAATAACAGTTTATGCTGATTATGCTGTCATTGCATGTGTATTTGCAGGGTTGATATACATGAGGCACTTGTATTCATGTACCCACTCAATTTACTACAAGTGGCATAGCAGTGACATCTTGTATTTGAAACTGGAAAAGTGCTAAATAATAGCTGTGGCATAGACAGTAGTATATAGTCACAGGAGTTTGTAACAGTTGGGCTGGAAGGAATGTGGAAAAAAGACCAGGCCACTCCTAACCTACTGACCTGTCATGTATTTCTTAGTAACAGAGCAATGGTCATGACAGAGTGACGGTTATGCAGACAGTCCTGTGTGTGAAGACTTTTCTTGTGATCTTGAGTAGGGTGAGAGTTTCTCTTCCTAAATCATTATTGCAGTAGAAAGCTGTACTCTTATTTATTTATTTTGGTTTTTTTTGGTAAGACTTAAGATTCCTGTCAGTGCTAGTCTCTGAAAAGAGCATAAATTGTGGAAAGCTTGTGCTGAGATCATGTGTGTGGAGTGACCCAGTCTCAGCAGGCAATGCAGCGCTGTGGGTGTCTTGCTGTGCTGCTAGTCCATCTGTGAGGGTGCTGTTAGTTTGGTATCTCAGTGGCTTGCAGGAGGAAAGAGTTAACAAAGGCTGTGGGGAAGCAAACAGCTCTGAGTTGAGTCCTCTCTGAAACCTCACTGGTTTTCTCTGCAGAATCTCAGTTGTGAAGTAGGTCTGTTGCCTGGCAAGCTTGTACTGTGCAAGGCACGAATTAACATGAGTGCTCAGCAGAGAACCCGAGGAACTGAGTGTATTTGCAACAACGCTCAGCCCTCCTGTGTCCTGCAGCACTTGCTGTGGGCTCCAGCATGCTCAGCTCCTGTGACTCTTACAGTAGCCTTAAAATAGAGACCAAGGCCATACCTGTGAAAGACTGTGCAAATCTAAACCAGCTGTGCAGGCCCAAATTCTGCAGTTGATGAGACTGTGGCATCAAATTCAGACAGGGAAAGTAGTATCTTTTATGTCTAAGGAAGAGCACATTTTTTCCATGGGCTTAGATAAAATGTGCAGAACTGTCATTTTGCGCTGGGATGCATTTCAGCTCCAGTATTGAGATCTCAGTAAAAGGCACTCTGAAAGTGGCGCGGTGGGACTACCAGTAGGAATTGCTGCCTGACATCGTTTCTCCTTGAGTCTTATTTTGGTTGTCAAAGGTTTTAAGTGCAATGAAAGCATTAATAGTAAACATAATGGAGATAAGAATGTGCCTTTGTAGCAGCTTCCTATGAGCTCCAGGGTGTAGGAATAGGTGTGGAGAAGAAGGGAGATCAGAGTAACAGCAAAAAAAAACCCCAAACTTGTGAAGCAGGTAAAATTACAACAAAAATGATCTTTTTTCCTTCCTTTGAAGCAAAACATAAGACAGGTTGTGCTACAACCTCTGCTTTTTTTGGGTTTGGGGTTTTTTTTTATCAGCGGATACAAAGATCTGAGAGCAACCTAAGGCATAAGGGTATCTGAAGATGTTCTCTCATCCCTTTTATACTTGCAGTAAGGTGAGCGTATGATTTCTAGGCCCCTACTTGGAGTTACTTCATGGGGGAGATCTTGCTTGTGTTTTCAGCCTCTTGTGCATTGCTGGGTTGCTAAACCACAGCTTTGCACCCAAAAAACGTTGCCCATATTTTAAGGTTTTCTGTCTGATTTAAAACATCCAGTAGCTTTTGCTAGGATTGTAAGATCTTGCTTCATTCTTCCTACAGGCACCCCAAAATGAAAGCTTTTGCTGTGCTTCCACACTATGCTGATGTGCTGCAATAGGTCGTCTGCAGCCCTTGTAATGATCACCTGCCACAGTGCTGGGTTATCAGGTGTGTGTATGAAGTAATAAAAATAAACACACTTGGGTTTTGTGCACCATCAGCTGAACTCCTAGGCAGATAGTTTGAAAATTGGATTAGCAAGAGCAGTTTTCCAGCTTCTGAAATTACCTACGCTGTTACATCAAGTAGATATAAACAAGTAAAATAAAATATTTTATTAGCTTTTTATGCTGTGTCTGCAGCAAGAAATGATAGGGTTTTAATTTCTGATGCTGATAAAATCTTTCAAGAGATTACTTTAATGCAACTGTAAATCAAAGGTTACTTTTCAGATTGCCTATGAAAACTATGTAATAATTAAGATATGGAACTTCGCTTCTCTAAGGTTAAGTCTCTCGGCAGTTGATTTCTTGTCATCTTAACATAGTAACAATTTAACTGCACCTTTCTGTCATCTCCTCTGGAAGCATATCAGATGGAAAATAACCATCCACCCAGTTAGGGTTCAATAAGCTGAGATGGAGAGACAAACTGAACTTAAATCATAGGATTTTATTGATAAAACACTATTCATCAATAGTATAGCACAGCTTTGCTATATCAAACATTAAAAAAAGGGAATGTTCTCTCCCCATCTGATTTAAAAAAAATAAATCCTGCAAGAAGCTATTGTGCTTCTTCTGGTAAAGCTCAGAAATGTGCAGGTATGGACCTATAAAAAATACGAATGAATCAGCAATATACTCTTGTAATACTGTAAACACCTTAAATTACTTAATAACCAGTTTAATTTAAAAGAAAGCTCTCTACTTTTAAACAGTTGCTGCTCTGTTGAGTACTACCTTTCAGAAACTTTCTGGGCTGCCTTACGGGCAGGTGGTGATGTAGGAGATCATTGGTACCCAGGACATGCTTCTTGGGCCATGTGTGTGTGAGTTCAGCCACTTGCTGAAGCCTCTTGTATGCATGCAAGAGTAAACGTATGTATATAGACAAGAAGACTGCAGACACTGTGTGAGTATGGGGAATGCTGTTGCCCTGCATCTGCTATCCATCATGTTTTCTCTCCAGTCCCTGTTTCAGCTACTGAACATTTCCCAGAAGGGCTTTCTGAAGTTTGCCCAGCTTAATGTAATCTTTCGCTTCTGTTTTCAGTAACTCAGGACTTGTTTTCTTCTCTCGTGTTCTGCCTTCACTCAGCTGACCTAGGCTGTTGCTTTCTGCACCTGCTTTTTACATTGCTTTACCTATAGGAATGTAATGAGTGACATGCTGTGGGCCATAGCTGCAGTGAGCCCTGTCTTCTGTTGTCCTCATTTTCCTTTGGTACTGGTATGAGCAATGGTTGATCGTTGCTTGAGTGATGCTTATATACAGCATCTGTTCCCCTTGAGCGATTAGCATCTTGTTTTTAGAGTTGAACTAAACTTCCTTTCTGTTCTAGACTGAAGTAACAAACACCGTGAGTCTGAATCGTGCTAATCACTGGCTTTGTCTTTCATTATTTGTCTGTTATATCTTTTCTAGACCCTCTTTTTGGCTGGGGAATGAGACCTTGAAAGTGCCTGTCTCACTCTTTGCCTTGAATAGACGACGACTGTGTGATCGCCTGAGACTGAATAAGGATGTCGACAAGAATTCAGTTGTTCTGCTACAGGGTGGAGAGGAAACCCAGAGATACTGTACTGATACTGGTATTGTGTTTCGCCAGGTAAGAGCTGAATCAGAACTTCAAGTAAAATTAAGAAACTCTTCAACAGCATGAATTTTTAAATGATTTTTAATTATTTTCCTTTTATCTCTCGTGCACTTTGCCTAGCTTCACTTAAATAAATTGGTTCCTTTATTACATTGCCTCTTCAGCTTCCAGTTACTCTGTCTTTCAGTGCTTTAATATGTAGGCCCAAACCTGTTCAAGGTCCTAGCACCTGTCAGTGTTTAATGTAACATCAGAGACAGCAATGGCGTATTTCTTAGTTTTTTTAGTCTCGTCTGTGAGCCAAAAAATAACCTTCTTTCTGTAGTGAAACATGTTACAGTGGACCTAAACTGAATTAATTTGTAGAAAAGCATATTTCAAGCTTTTATAAATAGTATATTCCACAAAACTGGGTGTATCTTAGAATTTACAACTTTGTCCTCTCAGATTAGACTCTTCCTTAAGTACCCATGTGTTCTGTCACAAATAGGACTCAACAACTTGTTATTGTCATGCCAAATGCATTCATAGTCTTTGGGGAAGCTGGCGTAGCAGAACCTTGATTATACCATATACTTTGCACAGCTGCTACAGTACTTTGTTTTGTGAATTTAATGGAGGTGTTGTATGTTATGAAGAAACAAACCCAACAAATTCTAACCTAAATAGCATCTGTCTTAATGTAGTGACTGGTCTGTTTTTGAAGGAGATGCACCATATAGCATATGTCTGTCCTTACCAAAATTAATCTCTATATTATTAATATTTTGCTGTTTGCTTGCTTGCTCTTAAAATAACTCTTGTTCTGTAGTGCAAGTTCCTATTCTGTGGGGAGGTGGGGTCTTCCCTTCAGCACTCGACGTCACAAACTGATGACTGTGCACTCTGCTTTTGTCTTGTCGAATGTGATGTGATTGTTTCTTCCTGATACTACATTCCCTAATTCTAGATTGAAAGAATGTATTTTGTGGTGTGCTTTGTATTTATTGTGCTGAGTTGACCTGTTTGTTTCTTATGGTAGCTTATTAATCTCAGATCCTTTCTAGTTGCCAACCAAGGGATTTGTGTTATTGTAATATTGTGATTGTTATTTCAGTGTGAAAAGCTTTAGATCTAAACCACTTCCACCTCTCCAAAAGCAAAAGAAATCTCTCAGACATGTGGAAGTAGGAATTAGTATGTATTGTAGTGTATTTTTAGAGCTGGTGGAAGTGAGAGTTTTCTTCTAAGAGTATATTTTGTGTTAACTTAGGAATCTTACTTTCACTGGACTTTTGGAGTAACTGAAGCAGGCTGCTTTGGAACAGTAGATGTTGATACTGGAAGATCCATGCTTTTTATTCCACAACTCCCTGAAAGCTATGCCGTTTGGATGGGAAAGTAAGACATACCTTTTAACTGTGTTCCGATATATCTGAATACTTCATATAATGTAACTGTAGAGCTGGACTGCTATCTTATTGTAATCAGATTCCACCAAATCATTTGGTGTGAATCGTAGTGATGCATAATGCAGTGGTACAAAACATGACCAATTGGTGTTGATCATATGATGTCAAATGATCCACCATCATCTAACAGAGATACCTTTAGAATTGGAACCCATGGATCTCATGATATCCATGAAAGGAAGCTGAACCATAAAGAATAGTACACGTCTTGTGTTAGACCAAACAAGTTAAATAGTAGCAGGCTTTTTCAAGTTGCTTTAGCAGTTTGCAGTTACTTTAGCTCATGAAGGTTTTTGAATGGCAGAAGGTAGTTTAGCCTCTTCAATACTTTTTTAGATATGAACTGACAGGCTGGTGAATGCGATTCTAATACTAGTCTGTGAGTATGCCATAAACATCTCTCTATCCACATTGGTAGTAAATATTGTTCAGTGCCATAAAAGTGGAAGAATTGGTTTATTTGTGTGTTCATTTCTTTTCTCAGTCTTAATTGTATTTATGCCCTGTAACAAAGTGTAATTTTTTTTATTGTCTGCATCATCTCAGAACATTGGATTACTTCTAATTTAATATTTTGAGCTCAGGTTGCCTCACTTCTAATTGAAGCTATCACTTATATTTTAATGCTAATTTTGGGAAAAAGAAAACAATGACAACCAATCCCGTATGCTGAACC